GGTCTTCGGCATGTGGGCCCCATGTAGATAAATATGGGCATGCCCATATGTATTTTCCCAGATATTTGGCACATGGAACCCATGTGGATTAAATTTGGGCATTCCCATAATTATATGCCCAGTTATTTGGCATATGGGTCACATGCAAATTAAATATGGGCATGCCCATATGTAACTGCCCACATATTCGGCACATGGGCTCCATTTGGATTAAATTTGGGCTTCCCATATTTACTTGCCCATGTATTTGGCATATGGGTCCCATGTATATTATATGTGGGCATGCCCATAAGTATTTTCCCAGATATTTGGCACATGGGCCCAATACGAAATTAATATGGGCATACCCATATTCAACTACCCAGGTCTTCGGCATGTGGGCCCCATGTAGATAAATATGGGCATGCCCATATGTATTTTCCCAATTATTTGGCACATGGGCCCCATGCGGATTAAATGTGGGCATTTCCATATTTACCTGCCCAGGTATTTACCATATGGGGCCCCAAGTACTTTAAATATGGGCATTCCCATATATATTTGCCTATATATTTGGCATATGGGCTCCATATGGGTAAACCATGGGCAAGGCCCATATGTGATTGCCCAGACGGATCCCATAAGGGAAAAATATGGGGTAGCCCATAAGACTTTTCCCAGATATTTTGCATATGGGCCCCATGTGGGATTGTTACCTGGGAAGCGCTATCAGTTAGCAAGTTGAGGGCGTTTCTATCATCAACTAATCACACGTACGCGTTTACAATTTCCAGTTTCTTATTGGCCAGTGATTCGATCATCATATTGTTGGTATCCGGATCGGGATTTTCTCGCATGGACGCACGGCAGCTAACGGTTAGCAGGATCCGGATCCTGCTAACCGTTAGCTGTCGTGTGAGAACATAGCCACTGTCGCCTTGTGGGACCTTAGCAACAATATCCAAGGGGCGGGGCTTAGCGGAAAGGTCCATTCACTTAAGGGTCTATAAACACATGAATACAGCAAATGTATTATCGGAACTGTCCGTTATAATTGACGTGACGGGGATTTTTTTTTCACATTTAAATTTTTTTTTATGGAATTAGGCTATGCCTAACAGTTAATAAACTTTAAATTACAACGGCAATTATGGAATTGTTTTAGTTCATAAGAGCCAGGGCATTAAAATCAATAAAACAATTGAAGGTGATGATAATAAAACTAGACGGTCACTTCTTGCAACTCATCACCCGAGCCTGAACCATATTTCTTTCTACTCTAGGGTGAGTTCAAAGGGAAACCAAATTTTAATGACATTGAAATTGTCCTTTTCTTTCCAAAAGATAATCATCTCCTAGATTTTATAATGATCCAAAATTTTATAATGATCCATCCTTTAAGTATAGGCCTACGGTAGTTTTGCGTAACTTACAATGAATTTCCAGAGGGCCGACGAACCACATAAAATATGGCCATGTTTGGTGTCAATGGAAAGGGAGGTCGACTAATAAAGCCTTAAGGTTAACAAAATTACGCTTTCACTGAGGTAGGCCTAATCCATAGTAAAACCATCCCCCGCTGACCATCCATAGAATTTGGAGCCAGAATAAATGTTATTTATGAAAGGGAATTACAGTATTTACAATTTATTACTATTTTACAGAAGTAAACCATTAACTTTTGATTGCAAGTAATCATGGACTGCTTGACCATATCCTCTGTGTGGTGACGAAAATTTGCCCGACTCCAACCCCCAAAATTTTATAAATAGTTAATTGTTATTATAGTTATTTTAAACAAACATTTTCAAAATCAATCTTTTACTAAATTTCAGGATTGTCAGTCAAAAAAGTTGAAAAGTTAAAGTGTATTAGGCAATACAAAAACAAGTGCATGGTGGTTTTTTGTATAAATTAATAGTAACACTAAAAAGACGTTAACAATTAATTCGCAAAAAATTATAGGTATCATCAGTATATTTATTTTTTTTAAAAAGTAATAAAATTGAGAAGTGGTCCGGCCAAAGCCGGTGCGTTTCCGACGGCCTTGCTAGACTAATACTGTAGTGGGCATTATGGAATCAAAACATGACAAAAGTGCTAGCAACCACTGTCAGAATTAACACAGCCAGATTAAAACGATAGAAATCAACAAATCATTGAATGGCTGCTACGTAATTATTTTCTTTAATAAGTATACATCAGAAGGATCCCTCAAGGGTACCCATATTCAGGGGACATAACGACTCAAAAAAAGGGTGCATGTTATGATATAGCTTAGAAGCCTATATGACAGTATACAAAAAAAAAGAAATCCCCTTGGTTTGGGGTAAATTTGACAAGATTGGTTGGATCAATACCTCCTTGGTTGGATGTAGGCCTACCGATGTTCACACTAGGTATTTAACATTCTGGTTTGATGTGAAGTTTTTTTGCTCAAAGGTGACAAAATATGAAGTTGAAAGATATTTTGTTATTTCAAGACATTTAAGATGCCCTCCTTGGGGTTGAATATGTACTGATTTGACCATTTGGCACAACCAGAGAATGTTCCCGTCACATTAATAGGGAGTCCCTTAATAGGGATTGGCCGTAATGTTAAAAGATATGATTCCCCTCATTTCAGGGAAAAGTGTCCCCTGAATAGGAGTTTCTCGAAGTAGGGTTCTACTGTATTAAATTGGTCGTATATTTTGTACTGGACGACATTTCTATAACTGATTAGAGACAAAACTGCTATAGTAAAAGCTCCCAAAAATGGTCTTTGTGTAGCATCTTATTAAATTAGGCCAATATGATATCAAACAATGCCGACAGTTTATTTGACAACTAAAGGCTTTTTATACATATAAATTATGAATAAAAATCAAGATTTTGACATACTTTATTACGATAAAATAACAAAAAACTATGTTAATTTAATAACTGTGTACATAATGTAACCTTTATTAATTATATTTACAATTTTCAATTTTTGATATACTTTATTACCATAAAATAACAACAACAAAAACTATGTGTACATTTGTAACATTTATTGATTTTCTTAAAATCCTAAAATAAATCTATAGCCGGTGTTCGCTTCAATCTAGACAACCATATTATCCATTAACGCGGCTTCTTCGAAATGGAATGCATGCACGAATTCCTGTTCACCAAACTCGTACCATTTTGATTATAATCGTGCAGGTATATTAAACAGACAAAAATATTATTGGAGGAAATGCAGCCGATTGCCATGTTATTATTAGGTTTTATTATTATTCATTGTACTTTTTTAAATTATGCTGTATAAATGAATGGACAGAATGTAAACTACAATATTATTTCCCAAGTTATGGAATTCTTTCAGTCTAAGCACATGTGACAGTATTACGTAACAGTTTCACGTAGAATACTATCAATATGAGTGAGTTTTCATTATGCTAATCACGGTATTTTCATTTACGTATAAATACGTGGACACTCAACGTGTGGAGTTACTTTAGTTGAGCTCGAGCTATAGCAATCATGAAATTTGTCGTCCTGTTTGCCGCACTGGTGTGCGTATCTACTGCCTTTCCTGAATTCACGGTGGATGTGTTAAGGAAGGAGTTGTCTGCATTCGGGAGCGGTAATGTTGAATCAAATGTAGTTGAATTGGCGCGGTCACTTAATCTGAACACCCTAGTTGAGCTGATTACCAAAGCAGATCTCACAGAAATGCTTACCGGGACAGGTTTGGAATTTTGTTTTGACGATGAATAAAGCTGTACTTGCACTTAAGCATCGACAGTTTCAATATAGTTTCACATTCTTTATATCTTAAGGCGCAAAATAGGCTTACATCGGACGTGGCTAGAATAACTTTTCCCCTCCCCTTGATGAAACTATTGCACGAATTGATAAAACAAGGCACATGATTATTAGCCTGTGTAGTTGCTTTAATATATTAAATAAATCTTTATATTCTTTCAGATGGCCTTACGATTTTCGGGCCCACTGATGATGCATTTGGTAAGCTTCCGCTAAAGGTTAAGGAGGAACTGGAAAAAGATAAGAATTTTTTGACCGATGTTCTCCTGTACCACGTCATTGAAAGCGAAATATACTCCACTAAGCTTAAAAATGAGCTCCTTGTGCCAAGTTGTCTTGAATCCACTTCCGTCCGCATCAATATCTACGATAAGGTAAACCGTCGATGGTCTATAACAGAGTAACCTCTGCATTGCAATATGGTATTTCAGAAACTTAAGTTAATTATTGTATTATTAATTATAGCTTGTCCCCGAGCTTGTCACGGCTACCGGATCGCCAATTTCGAAACCAGACAACGTTGCCACTAACGGTGTCATCCACGTACTAGACCGTGTTATGTTCCCAATTCCTTTGAATGACATTCTAACTTTAGTCTCGAGTACTGGCAACTTCTCAACTCTACTGAAAGCAATTGAAGTTTCTGGCATTAAAGATTTACTTAAAGGTAATGTATGCTTTAAACCCATAACAGACTGAGCATTCGAAACAACAAATTTTAAAATACAATAAATTATAAAAATAGTTATATAAAAATATTACTCTCTCCAGGTGGTCCATACACTTTGTTTGCACCTACAAACAAAGCATTCGAGAAACTTCCACCTGGCAAACTCGATGGATTGCTTGCTAACAAAGATGAACTTCAAAAAATCCTCTCGCGTCATCTGGTAAATGGCACCATGTTTAGTGCTGCATTAAAACGTGTTGATAAGGTGACTACCAGGGAGAATGACGTCGTCACAATTGGCATTTCTTCAAATGGTGGTAAGTGGGGACGAATACTTAATATATTGTTTTTACTGTCCAGGTGTAATGACACCACGGCTGTATATCACAAACATCGGTAATAAAAATTGGCCTATTCAAATTTTCTTTCAGATCTGTCCGTAGAAAAAGCAAACGTCATAATAGCAGACGCTGCTACAACCAACGGAGTTGTGCATGTGATCGATACTATGCTACTTCCTCCAAACGTAGTGTACAGTGAACGCCATTAGTAACGGATTTCGCATGTTCATAATATAACGTATAGCTCCGAATGATTCTAATAAATTGTCGCAAGTCTAAAAACAAGCCTACATGTTTTTAATGTGTCTACATGGTTTTTAATGGGGTTTTTTGCGTTGGTAACAAAAGTGAAAACCTTAGTTTCGTACCATATAGAAATAAGTCGCCCGACGTACGAATCCCTCATGGATCCTTGTCCATCAGTATCGCCTAATCGGATTCACACACTGTACAGCACAACCCTCAATATCTTCTAGTTTCACAATAAATGTCCATAGTTCAATAAACAGAAATAACAAAACTGATTTCCTGCTTCATATTTATTGAATATTAACGCTAAAACTGAGTTAACAGATTTCTGGTCTTTGAAGGGTAGGATAATTCGGATGGGCATTTCCTTTTCGTCGGCTTCATTATTACTGTTAAGCGTCAACCAAGCAACAAAATAGACCAAAGTGATGCAATTAAGAAAACAAAGAAACGGAAATAAACAATGCGACTGTCTTATTTTCAATCCCTGTGTTATGAACTTTGACATTGTAGATTAGCTTTTTTCTATTGATTATAGTTGCTGTATATTCTATTCTTCATTTGATCTTGAAAATGACACCATGAAGGAGTCAAAACGTCAATCTTTCCTTTTTAGTGTTATTTTTATATTAAATAAAATATTAGTTTCAAAATACAAAATTTGTATTGCACACGACGAACAGGATAAAAATTTACGGGCTGCATTTCAAGCGTCCAACCAAGTGGGAGAACAACAGATCCGTATCTATAATGGGTCTAGGCCTATGATAAATTTCCGTACATCCCTAATGAGACAAAATACTCATAGTACTACTGTACTAGGAATCCAATTCCACAATAAGTGTAGTGCATTAACAGCTAAAAATAAATTTAATATTTTTAAAGAAAAAATGGCCAGTAAGTGTCCCAATAAAATTTAGGCTATTAAATGTAATTGATTACTTTCATGTGTCACCAATTTTCTTGATCAGTTTTGAACTAGCCTAGGCAAAAGGTGTGATTTCTGAAAACATGAATCGGTAGATTTACTCCAATAATTTTCATTCTTCCATTTTAAAATATGCCTTCTAACAATTTAAAACTGCATTCACCTATAATCAGCACCCCCCACTACTAGTCATAACACAGGCCTACCAATTAATCTTGCACTGGGGTCCGTTACCTTACTGTAAATTGACTAATAATGCAACATGTCATGACGCGATTAAAAAATGCATAACTTCTCGCAGAGTTTATTTCTCATTTGCCTTGGCACATTTAAGCAGTTCATTTTCTAGAATTTCTTTCAAATACTCTATTTTTGCTTTCATATCTTTCCTCATTTCCAACTTGTGAACAGGAATCTAAAAAAAAAAATGAAACTAAATTATATTTTCCTTAATTTTTCACATTTTATTAATTTACTTCGTATTCCATTTTTTTAAAATGTAAAAACGTATATGAACTACATCATAAATTATCCACTCCAAGGTGAACAGGACCCCATAATCTTGTAGGAACACACAAGAAAAACTACAAGAAATTACTTTGAAAAACCAATTTTAAAATCGCAGATTGCCATTCCGAGTAACTACATTATACAAATGTGAATTTAGAGGTAAAGTGACGGGGCACCCCCCCCCCCTTTTTTGAAAAATCAAGAAAAAAGAAAAAAACATCTACTTTAGAGTGGGTGTTATCTAGATCGGCCCCACTTTTAGACATCTCTGGATCCGCCCTTGGTATACATGGGGTGGGGGAAATAAGGTAGGTGTGTAAACCCTTTGTCAAGACCTTGAACTACTGCTTTACTACAAGAATAGGGAAAGTCAAACTACTTACCCAAATAACACTGTATCCAAGGTTGGTGAGGTGGATATGCTTGGTAGCTGGGATTCCAAGAAGATGAGAGCTTTTTGCAGCAAAAGAACTTGAGGGTGCTAACAACAAACATGTTCTACAAAAAGGATAGATAAACAATTCCAGAGATTTCAAGTTAAAAAAAGTTGCAGGCTAAGACTGTCTAGGGAGGAGTAATTGGTCTCTGTCCCCTCCCCTGGAATATTTTAAATGTTCCTAAATGTTACAAAATGCAATCAGTATCTGAATTTTTCTTGAGAATACATGCATTTCAGGTCTTGCACACCAGGGAGCAGTCACCTCACACAAACCTTTCAACACTGGCATGTTGCTGGCAGTGTGTAGGCCTGTGTGTCCTTTGATCTTACGCTATATAAAACAACACATTCACAGTGTTAGTGCATCTAGTTGGCATATATGTTCTTGCCATGGTTTTTAAGGACTGTATACATATTTTGTAATATAGGCTTTACATTTATGCATGATATTTTGGTTGATTTTGGCATTTGGTAGGTATGCAATTCAAATGTTGGGAAGCAGGTTTCAATCTGACATATCAAATTTAAGTAATATAATATACAGTAATTTTCAATCTGCAAAGCTTTCATCTTGCTTAAGGGGGAATTTTACTACTGGTTATAATTTAGCCATTGTACATTCCTACTTACTTTTTGTTAAAACTCTGACCACCCACCACAAAATCTGTTGAATAAAATGCAAAACATGTTTAAAGGGGGACATTTACTTCCAATGACAGATTCTTTGGAGTTAGTGTTGATTCAGAGGATCCATTCAACTATAGCGCGGAGTTTACTCAAACAAATAATTGGGTTCTAAGCTTCCATAGTACATGAATTCACAAATTTTACATAGCATAATTAAGGGGCTGCTCATAATTTTCAACATTTTTACAACTGTACAAAGAGTACTCTTTTTTGCTACTCCCTCTTTGAAGTGTACACATTGTTTTTTTTTTGTTTTTTTTCATTGAAGAAACAGTATGCCTATAAAGTGTCATTTATGATGCCAGTATTTTGCGCTCATAACCAATACACCAATGGCTACAATTTAATTCAGCAATTTTGCTGCCACTTGCTGTCTTATCTCTTATCCTATTTAAAAACAAGAAAATTTTAACAGAGGCTAAGTAAAGAGCTGAAAAATGTGCGACAGAGACTTTCTAAACAAGAATAGAAAGTTGAGTTTAATGGAATGGCCATAAACACCCTATTAGATATTTCCTAATTTACTGACCATCTGATAAAAATAATATCCCTCACCTAAATTGATTGGCACCTGACCACTAGAAAGCATGTTGCATGAAATACTCTGCTCTGGACATAGACCATTCAACACATTCCTTACAAGGTCCTTGACTTCCAAGTACTTGCTGTGAAGTTGGAAGACGGGTGGATGAGGCCTTGAACAAGGATAGCTTGAACCAGTAAGCATGGTCAGTGTCTGGAAGTACTGACTAATGTTGGTGTCGCAACTATCTCCTGAAAAACCAAGAATTCAATCAATAAAAAATCCTATATTGGAAACGCTCGAATAAGCACCCTCTCGAATAAGCGCTGCACCAAACCTGATTGTTTTTAGCAAAGTGCCACTCCCAAATTAGCACTGCCTCGCCTAAAGCAACAGTATTATATTACCCTGTGTGCAATAAAAACACTTTCGAGAAACGGTTTTAAATACAAGGTATAGGCCTAAATTGAAGGAAAAAGCATTGCTTTATAATGTTTACAGTACAATCATGCACAGTAGGACCTATAATATGCCTACTGAACTACAGGAATATGTATGACTCAGATAAGTAAAATGGGAACGAGTATGGAAAGCGCCACTCCAATTTTTTTTTATAAGCGCCGCTCCCGAATAAGCACCGCAAAAAGGCCTCCAAAAAATTGAATAAGCACCATGGCGCTTATTCGAGCAATTAAAAATATGATTTACACTTTTGTATTATTCTAATTCTAATATAGAACCTTTTAAAAAGAATGTGCTAAACAATAGCAATAAAAAGGCATGTATGATACTGGTAAAATTAAAACATCTATGTCATCATCATTTTCATTATTATTTACCTTCAAAGTTCAACAGCAATTGTTGATACTTTTCTCCATTGACGAATGAAAGCAAACCATCAGGAATTTTTCCAAGTTGTGAGAGGGAAGCAGCAGTTGAACAGATCATTTTACAGACATCGTAATCAAGGTTGTTCTCCTTTATGACTCTCAATGCTGAATCAGAGAGTCTGGCACAAAAGTCACCAGCATCAACTACTGTACCTAAGTTGAGGGCAGCAAATATGTGACCAAGTTTCTGCAAATCTTGAAAGCATGTGTCTGCATCTAAAGCACACTTGATGACATGATTACAAAATTTTATGTTCAAAATACGATAAGATAACAGAATTTCTGTAACACTGATCAAATCTGCCACAGAAAGTTTGAGAGGATTTTCTAAAATCTTATGTGTCAGGAATTCCACTGTTCGAATACTAAGACAACCACATCTATTTAACCGATGTATCAACTCCATGGCCGCACTTCCATCAAGACTTTCAAAATTTTCCTTCAGGAAATCTAAAACTTGATACTGAACTGGATGCTTTTTGATGTGCAAACTTGCCAAAGCATTTAAAATAAATATAGATGATTTGAAGTCAATGTTATTTTTTACAATGATGATCGCAAGCAGTCTGTTCAACAACATTTGCAGCTTCTCATCTGTTAAACGATTTCTGAGATTTAACATAACTGAAGTTATCTGTGGAATGCTTTCAGCTTTGTCAGTGAATTTCCCAATGAGGATACTGCAACTGTCCAGCAAAGTTGTCACCAAGGCATCATTTCCATTTACATCCTTCAACATCTTAGACAAGCAGTGGACGAAATTATTCATCTGTCTGGGACTGAAATCATTGAAGCGTTCACTAGACTGAGTTAGCAGAGTCTGAAGAACAGAACTTTTTACTGGTACTCCTAAAACAAAAAGGGCATTCAAAGTCTCTAGAAATAAATCATTGTCCATGTATATTGAGAACTGCAAAACAAATTGGCAGATGACAGTAAAATCTCTTTTGTTTTTCTCAATCAGACTGTTTTGAAGTGGTACCAACTTTAAAGCTTCTGTTCGAGAGTACTGATGGTTGTTCTGTTGCTGGATTTCTGCCATGCGTGACACAGCTCTTCCAATGTGTATTTCATTCATGTCTGATCCAATTTCGCGGAATGCTTGAAATATTTCATCAATTGTTTCGGAGGCGTGTAAACCTTCAATGATTGCGAGGCTGTACTTATCAACTTCAGTAACAGGATTCAACTGGTTCTGAGAAACTTGACTTGGTTTTGTTACAAAATTAGGGCTTTTTAATGCCGGTGGCAATCCTCTGAGCCAAGGCTGTATACAGTAATATCTGGAAGCCATCTCTATTCTTGCATTATTTTTGCAGTACCTCATAAAATAAATGCTTTTACATTGTGCCAAAGTTGCTAATTGGAATACTGTTGGACTTAAAACCATCCCTCTTGCTGAGGTTTTTGATGCAAGATTTCGAAGAAACATTCTCATCAAGATGTATTCATAATTATGGCCATAAAACTCAATCTGTGAAGGATGAAAAATTTGTTTACACTTTACAGTAAATTCAAAATAATCAAAAGCTTAAGTATTTTAAAGTATAGACTTGTATTTGCCTCACAATAATTATTTAAAGAGCTATAAAAAATCTCACTACACTTATTAACTCTAAAAGTTGCTCAATTCAATAACTACAATGGCAATACAGTAGTCACTAAACATAAGGCAACTTACACAGTGCATATCGCTTTTCTAAATGTACAAAAAAGTGCTGTATAATTAATTTATTGGACTTTCTTTACAGTTACTGAACTTTGTTTTTCGGGGGTGACTCTTCTGCGCATTTAAAAAACTTTACAGTACAGGCAACACTCCCTATATTACTACGTAAACAAGGCCCTGTAACTAGCAAATCTAAGCTGGAAAAGTGATGAGGCTCAGGGAGAGAGGCCCCTCTACACAACATTATGTGTAGAGGGGCCGCCTCGGCATCCAAACCAAAAACTAGGCCTCGGACCCTCGACATCCAAATTGAAAACTAGGCACACCCTAAGCCTGGATTAGGGTCGTAGCAGCCGCGAAGGAAAGCGGCCGCGAGTCGATACGCAGCAATTTTTATGGAGCGCCAAGCGTGCAGTATGTAAAATATATGTTGGACAATGGGCATCAGATTTCGATATTATTACTGTTTTAATCAATCAAATTAATGTACGGTATATTTTCTTTCATAATTTATATATAGCCTATATAAATCGAGGCTTAATATTTAGCTAGTTTGTTTATTTATTATATCAAATATTATGATTTATAGTATGCCTATTTTCTTACAGAAATGGATGGTACTTTTAAATCACTTCTTTAATTTATTTATTCGAATTTTACTAACTTGTGTTTAGTTTGTTCTTTAGTGAATGAACATCTGTTTGTCATTGCATTTGAAGATGATTGGTATTTATTAATATTTATTGATATTCATGATTGATATTTATTTTTTATAATCCAATTATGTCATGTACGTACAAAAATGTTTCGATCTGTAATCAATCTGTAAACAAATCGATCTTTAATCAACAGGCCCAAGACAACTACGAGAAATAAATATATTCAATTATGAAAATTATACATTGATTTCTCTTTATTTCGAAACACTTGGCTGATAAAATAAAACTGAGTGAAATATACTAGAATTAACGATAACGATTACGATATGAACGCTATTTATTGACCAACGCTATACCGTACCGTATCTCAATCAATCGGTATAGCGCTACTGGCGTTCCATACATTTTGAGCGCGTCCGCTTTCCATCGCGGCCGCTTCGAACATACCCCCCCCCCCCGCCTCCCTAGGGCCCACTACAACTAACTACTAGTCCTAGCTAGATAAAGAGGAATGCTATACAGGCCTAACCTAAAAATAAAAGGCTAGCCTAGTAGCAGTAGTAGTAGTAGTAGCTAGCTAGGCTGGACTTTTGGCCTAGCTGGGGCCTAGGAACCCTACAGAATTAGGTCGCTAGACTATTCTATGTATAGAAAGAAAGCAATATACACATACAAACAAATATATTTCTATGAACAATAATCGAGTTATATGTATAGAGCACGTTTTAAACTGGCATCACCTTCCATGTGTCCTCATGCTTTTTTTTTTTAAATGATGGACGTCCTGCGTGTTGTCAAACAAACAAAAGAAACATGATTCAAGAATCATGTAATTACATATATAAATCTTGTTTACAAAATAAATATGTACATCAAATTTACAAATTATAATATAAATCAACTAACAAATTTGATACATTTACTATATTACTTAATTTATTTATTGAGAATTATATTCAAGAAATTGTAATTCAGAACGATTATAGCCGGCCAAGTCATCGATTCTCTTATTAGACTAGACTTAACCGAACCAGTCGTCATTCGCGTGGTAAGCACAGCTAGCCCGCCTTAGCCTAGCTAGATTTTAAGGAACCAAGAGGACTCACTTCACTTTTGGGGTGCTTCCCTCCTCCTGCGTGAGAAATCGGTTCGGATAGGCCTATCTGTATCAGGAAATAGAAGAAGTAGTATCTGTATTGTCGTTTATATGTGCCTATATAATAATAACTCAGTCACCTAGCCTAATTTACATCCTAGTTTATTTACGAAATCTGAAGCACAACCACCAACATGCCACCACCAAAGATTCGAAAGCTTGCCATCATGGGATTCCGTTCTGTTGGTAAGGTTAAAAAAGAAGAATGTTTTTGTTTGACACCCACCCACACATTTCCCCACAACTCACGTCAACATTGCAGACAGTCTGGGCTTGGCCCTGGCTAATGATAGGCAGGCATAATTTATAAACATCACCCTGCAATACACATTTAATATTAATAATAATGTTTCACTTTTTCACTTGCAAGTTCTATAAACAAATTGTTGATTTATTTTTCACAGCATTATGATTATTTTATTAAAATATTAATTATTATTAATATTATTCAAATTTCAATTGTCATAAATAAAGCAGGGGTGGACATAAAAATTGTTCGGAGGGCCAAAGTGAATTTTTGATTTAACATCAATGGTCACACCCAAACTTTTATGTTTTGAGTGGGCTTCCAAAAACCTTTCATGCAGTGCTTTTATGCTTTATGATCCGTTTTAATATTACTTTTTACAAGTGATCGGTGTCGGGCCATAAAAAAAAAAAAAACAAGGTTATCCAAAGATGATTGCCAGGCTGCACTTATTTAGCCCTCTTGTGTCATAAAAGCTCTCTTCAACAAACCAGAAAATAAAGCAAAAATCGCACAACAATAGAGAAATGAATACAATAATACTATAGATACACAGGGAGGTATAAAACTGAGAATGTAAAAAAAAATACATTCGAATATATGTAAAGCTAAATAGTAATGGGCTCGATAAAGAAAAGCCAGCAGTATTAGATTGATAAGCTAGGCCTGGTATCATGATATAAGCAACAATATTCTTTTTAAATTTTGGTATAAGGGACAGTTGATCACAATTGTTGGTGTGAATTGTTACCTATTTAAGACACATCTACAACTTTAGATTATGCCAAAAAAGGTTTGTTTTTTTTTGAGAAAAAAAGAAACAAAACAAAAAACAAAAAAAACGACTCAATATATTCAAGGTTTTTTGGTTATTTGAGCTTGGGCAACACAGAGTTTGTTTTTTGGTCTAATCAAGCTCAGACTGAATTACCTGTTTTTTGTTTTTTTTTAATCATTTCTTTCCCCATTTAAATATTGGCAGGTTATGTTTTATTGTGCAAGACCCTCTGATTAGCTAAAGATCAATTAGTCCCTGCATGAATTAAACAAAATGATTACATCACTGCAGTGCAGGAGTAGCAAATCAGGAAAATATACTTATGGTTTAATATACTGTAGTGGGAGTGGTTGGAGTAGCGGTTGCGTTTTTCGGTGTCTCAACCTCGAGAGGTGGGAGGGGGGGGGAGGGTTTGAACCTTTGCTGTGCATATCGATTTGTGTTCTTGGACTAAGGAACTTTACCTACGTTTGTCTCTGTCCACCCAGGAGTATAAATGGTTACCCTGTGGTTCACTACTGGGGAAGGAAAAAAAAGGTGGTGTGGAAAGGAACTGGCCTACCACACAATACCGAGGCTTAGTGCGATAGGCTAATAGCTCATTTCCCTACGTTCAGTAATGAATACGGAACTACCTTTACCCAACCGTACGTATGCTTACGAAAACCATTTTTGTAAATTCTGAATTTTTTATTGTTTCCTAATTGATGTGATTGTACTTGTGATTTAAATACTATTATTAATTTTTTAAGCAGTCTATTTAAGCTTTCCCCATGACTTGCTGAACTTTTTCCTCGTTACCGTCCATTTCGTCACCTTCATTCCTCCTCCCAAAACCAGCTCTCTGGACCATCATTTAGTACTAAAACTTACGGCTTGAGCACCTTTACATTCGCTGCTGCTCATCTCTGGAATAATCTACCTTTTTTAGTAAGATCATCTACTTTCGTATTCATATACGACCATTCTGTCTCTTCTTTTTAATCTTCGATAAAAACTTGTCTCTTAACATCTAGCTCTAGCATACACTGCACACTTTGAATATTGTTCTTTGGAATTAGTGTACTACTAAATCATTATTATTATTATTATTATTATTATTGTTGCTGCTGCTGCTGTTATTATTATTATTAATACTAATTGATGTTTTATTTTATTACTGTTAATATTCATTCAAAGTTTTATACAAAAAAAAACATTAAAATACGAATTCAGAAACGGAAGCCATTGACGATGAAAATGGAATTGTTGGTAACTGGAGTTAAATTACATTACAAAAAAATGTTGATATAATTGTAAATACAAAACATTCAACTTGTTCTTATATTTTTTTTCTTTGTGTTATTGTTAAATAACTGAAATAAATAAATCTTATTTAAATAGATATTTTGTTAAATATGAAGTTCTTTACTTTTTTGTCTACCATCAGGAAAATCATCTCTAACCATCCAGTTTGTGGAGCATCAGTTTGTAGATGCCTATGATCCAACAATTGAAAATAGTAAGGGTTTTTATGCTTCTTTTCATTTATTTCAAGACTAAATTTAAGAATTGTTTTTTGCCTTTCTTCCATTTATTTTAAAAATGAACATTGATTGTGTCCTTTTGTTTTTTTAGAGAATAAGGCCCTAACATACACTGATACTATAACATATTTTTTATTATTGATATTATAGAGTTCCTTAATTGGAAATAGCCAAAAATTACTGTCACTCCCATTTTGGAAAGCTTTTTGATTACATGCCATTTTGAATGCCATTTAAATCAGATTTATAATTATGCAAAGCCTGGTTTCCATGAAAATCACTACATGCTGTCGCCAACTCGTTTGGCGATGCTAATTGGTCAGTTGAATCAGAGAACCTTCCCGGTTGCGTCGGGGACAGATATGCAGTGGGAGGATTGCAGTGCAGTTTTAAATTTGCTGTTAAAACGGCTTCGAGAGAACACTACAGTGAAAATGCTGTAGTGACATTCTATAGCATTAGCCTGAATAATTTGAACATTTGAACATGTATGCAAAGTATGTTTCTGTCACCCCAAAACCTTGGATTATTATCTACAGTAGTACATATTTAAGCTATTAATATTCAATTTTTAAAGAATGTTTTAAAATCGTACTTAAAGAATTTTTTGTATTATTATTATGATTATTGTATGTTTATTTTTGTTTGATGTTCTTTATAGCATTTGAGAAGATGATCAAAGTAGGTAATCAAGAATTCAACATAAAAATTGTTGACACAGCAGGCCAAGATGAATACTCTATTTTCCCACAATCACTCTCTGTCGGTATTAATGGTTTTGTGTTAGTTTATTCTGTAACGTCACAGAAAAGGTTAGTTTTTGTTTATTCATTTGTTGTTTTTTTTGTGGATAAAAATCAAATGCTACAGTAAGCTGTGTTATCAGATGTCATTGGTTAATATCATAATGAAACTAAATTGTGTACTGTGTTCAGTGGCGGATTGGCCAATCTTCAGTCAGTCATGGACCGATTGTCCACACCTATCCACACCTACTGTACCACTATTGTATTGCAGGAAAACATGCTGACAGTGGTCGTCAGAATTTAACAATAGACCTTTCCGGAGTGTCAATCAAACTTAGCAACTGACCAATCAGAACAGCACTAGGAATATGCGCATGTCTCACAAACACACGTGTTGTCTCAAAAACGCATGTGTATTGTGGTCTTATGGGACCTTAGCAACAGTATCCAAGGGGCGGGGCTTAGTGGAAAGGTCCTTTGATCTGGATGTTCACTGAAGACCCTGAAGTAATGGTCTAAAAATATATATCGTCTGTTTCATTATGGTCAAAGATCTTATAAACACAAGATAGTGCTCTCCGCGGTTCTACGCGTAACAAATAGAAGCATCGATGTTCAGTAAAGAGAAACATAAAAAGTAATCACTTTGATGGAGGGTGTCCTAGTTTTTACCATGGCTGTTATAGAATTCTATGCAGATGCGCTATCTTTAGTTAATGATCTCTGATGTCAAAGTTGATAAGTAACCACTTTTGCCAAGGGTGCCGTACACTGCGTTATTACAGAATTTGCACACGGAAATTGCGGAGAACGCTATCTTGTAATTATGAGATCTTTGATTATAGTAGATGGGAATGATTTTCGTTGTGGGTGGTGCTCTTTATGACTTGGGGTATGGGAAGAAACTAGGACAATAGGCTTAGCAGTCATTGTGTTGATTTGATGACTCTAAATTATCATATTTTTCTTCATTTTAGTTTTGAAATCGTACAGATTATCCATGAAAAACTGTTAGATACTATAGGAAAAGTCACGTAAGTACTATTGTTTTTGCCAAATAACAAAATAAGAATTAAAATTTGTTTATAATGTATTCTGCAACTCACATCATCCACACACAATAACATACAGCTTTCTATTTTAGCCAAATCTCTTATTTTCCTATGGTTGATAATGAAGTGATATTAACACTGTTTTTTTGTCTTTTTCAGTGTTCCCATTGTCTTAGTTGGCAACAAAATTGATTTAGTTAATGATAGGTAAGTTTATGCTATCATTGAATATTAAAATTTAATCACTCGTAGGCCTATGGAAGTATCTTTTTGCGATTTTTTACGAACATTTTTACTTTCAATCGCGAATTTTCTTCCTAAAGACTTGAGGATGTCCCAATCTATTGACATTTTCCAGAAAAGGCTAAAGAGTTTTTGAGTGCCTTTGAACATTTTTGATGGATTTTTGGCGCTATATAAATTCCATGATTGATTGATTGAGTTCAAGACCAATATTGTTCACACTGAATTAGTAGTGCTGATTACATGCATAACTAGGAATACTCCCCAGGGAGTAGAAAAGGTTGCACGTTTATGATTCATTCTGTATCCCAGGTGCAGATCTAGTAGGGGCATGTCCCCCTTTTTGCCACTAAATTTTAAAATTTCAATACATATATTGAAATTAGCACGACTCACTTATCTATTCTGAAAATGTTGTGCTCGTGTTTGACAAATTCTGGATCGACCCCTGCTGTATCCAGTGACCAGTTAAAAAGTGCCTTGAGCAGGTTTTCTGAAATGCATATGCATGGTACTATTAAATAAAAAAAAATTACTAACATTAACATGCATTGCATTGGTTTATAAGTACTGTAATTAAATTAGTATTAGGATGCTATTCCAATACGAACCCCAATTTGTGACAAAAAAAAGAAATGGGACTGCCGCAAACACTGTCATTTATGCAACTGTCTGAATAACAATGGCCAAAATTTTAACAGAAAAAAAATGGCTACAAGCCTTTAATAAGAAAAATTGAGTTTATTACTTCCACAGTGTTGCTTTATAAAAAAATAAGTTAAAGAGGTTGCTAACTAACTTCATCGATGTTAAATTTTTCTCAGGATAATCTCAACACAAATGGGCCGGGATTTGGCAAATTCTTGGAATGCAGCTTTTATAGAATCATCAGCGAAAAAGAATGAGGTAAGAGAAATTTTAAGATCTTTAAGAGGTAGAAATTTATATTTATATCTTACTTGTATATGTATATATTATTTATATTCAATAACCTTATATCATAGTACTTTATATCATAATATTATTATATTAACGAAAAATTAGTCTTGTCACTTTTGAATTGGATATTGCTAGTTCTGTTTGTTTTACTGTGAATTGCCATGTATTTCATCTTTCATCCAGTGTGGTGCTGATTATGCATTATATTATATAACATTTTTAATACCATTTTAACCATTAGAATAATGCTTCCTGTTAATATCTTATTCAATTCAATTTATTGTCCAAAAGTGGAAATGCAGAGCGGAAACAATTCATTGCATATTAAAATACTAGTATTAAAATTGGACAAAAATATAAAATATAAAATAGTGTTTAAATACAATACAATAAAATATTCATTGGAAAACACAATTTAAACTTAGCAGAGTATTCCTTATGTCAAATCGTTGGGTTGTTGGGAGTGGGGTATTAGTTTAGTTGTCTGTGTATAAATTAACCCAATTTGTTCTTTATCTATTTAGATGGTAGAAAGAATTTTCAAAGCAGTTTTGGAATTGATTGAAAAGAATGATGGAACTTCACCAAAGACAGACAAGGAGTGTATCCTGTTGTAAGGTGTGTCCTCCACATCTTCCTGCAATACCAGATATGGGACCATTCTCTTTCATCAATCAGTAAAGAAGAAACAAGTCTGATGGTAGATGTCATTTTAAGAAAATCTTGTGTTGTAGTTCATGATCTCCTTTTATCTTTTCTTTCTGTGTTCAAACACGTTTCATTGATGTAATTTTTTTTTAGAGATGTACACTACTCGTTATGGAAAGGAATCAAATCATGGATATGGAATCTGTAACACACACAAAAAAAGAGTGTTACTGTATTGTTAACAATTACTGCAGCAATTTGGAATGAAAATAATAATATGTATTGTTAGTTTTAAGCCCTCTTCACAGGGGTCCTAAGTTTGAAGAAGTGACATCTGTGAGATCTGTTTAAATGACCTATCTTAACACATGTAATTATATTTGACTTCACATGGTCATACCCACTGGCACTGACTTTTGTGAGACAATTGATAATAACGTAGTAAAAAATATAACAGGTCTCCCTCTAATTACCACCATTTGGGGGACTGGGGCTTCCATGGTCTTTGGTCTTAGATACTGTAAGTGGTCTTTATTTGGAGGGGTCTTTAATTAGAGGGAGACCTGTATATGAATTTGCAGGAGATGACTTGGGTCCCCAGTGTTCATTTCTTACTTTTTTGTTCAACCAAACCCATGGACCTGGTCAGTTTGACCAAAAGAGATTGAGTGCAAACAGACTGCATCAATATTCTTGTCAAATTACCCAATTTGACAAGCTGGCAGTACATTGAATCGAGCAATGCAATCCAGGAAGAATAACCCTGTTTTTCTTGAGCGTAGAAGTCCAGTGGGAGCGTGTGTAAATACCATGTACATTGCTGTAGTACTCACGCGCAATGTATCTGTGATTACACTGACCACACATGCATAGTATCTTACTACAGTATAACCTACTACAAATTTTTAATTCAAGAACGAACAAGGATACAATTTGACCAAGGTAGAGTTACCCTCATCTTGGTAAAGAATTATTATATGAATACAACTTTCAATCATATGTTGCAAAAGCCTCTGGGTGCTACATGTGTGTATATGAAAACTCTTTGAATTTTAATTAAATTTTTCAAAAAAGGTATTATAGCGTGTCACAGGTAATTTGTTATTTGATTTGAAGTGAAGGTACTGTAGAGCCTCATGGTTAGGATGCTTGCCTTCCTTGATTAACTTAATCACTTGTTTAAGTGGCATTCCTGCCACAAGACAAGCATATGAGTTACAAAATGGCTAAGTTGTAAACTTTTCACTTCTTCCATTACCTTTTAGTTGCTTTTAAAAGATGCTGTACAGTAAGTATTTTCAGTGAACTACTTACTGTACTTAAGCATATGAAAGCACTGTATTTCATTGAAATTTGATCAAAGCATTAAATATCTTAGTCTTGAATGAGGGTGATTCATGTTGCAGAGCTGACCTTCTTGGGATTCTTGATGCGCTATAACCAAGTGTTTATATTTGAGGCTTGTGAAGATGGAGAGCTGACTATTGGGGACTCTTGACGCTCTATAACCATGTCTCTATGTGAGCACCGGTGGTGGAAAGTGGACCCTAAATGATCTGTAAAAAAATCTATTTATGAAGCTTAGGTGAGATATTTATGATACAGTACCTTGCTCAGCGAACTTATTTTATAAGGATCGTCAGAGAGTGAGAAATAAATAAAAATAAAATTTTGCAAACTTCTGATCCTTGAACATTTTTGGTGCTTGTGCAAAATCAGAAATTGCAACGAACGGCGGGTTTTGCCACAGCTGGTCACATTTAGCAAAATGGTTTTGCCAAAACCATATCTAGACGAAGCACAAAATAAAAATAAAATTTTATTGATGAATAAAACGATTGCAAGTATGCAAGGTAATAAAATCTTTCTTATTTTGAGCATTTCAAAGTGGCAATGGACATAATAAAAATAAATATAAAATTATATTTTTTAGCAGTGGGTATAGGCCTGTTTATACTTCAACGATAACGATAGCGATAAAAAAGCTAAAAAGCGATTGTTCATATGGAAAACAAAAGAAATTGGAGAAATTTTTACACTAGGACGATTCGTTAACGGTTTATCGTATATACGATGACAAAATATTTTAACAAATCAAATCAGATGACGTCATAATCATGGAAAAACTATAAAATCGTTGCTACTATGATTTTAATGTTTTTCCATGATTATGACGTCATCTGATTTGATTTGTCAAAATATGTTGTTATCGCATAACTGATAAATCGTTATCGAATTGTTCTAGTGTAAAAACCTCTCTTATTTTCTATATGAACAATTGCTTTTTAGCATTTTTATCGTTATCGTTGAAGTGTAAACAGGCCTTAACACTGGTCAAAAATAAAATGTTATTTTCATGTGAAGTCAGCGGGCAGGGAGTTTGCTAAACAAGGTGTAAAATAAGTCTCGCCTTATGCTGTATGGTGAGCTGTATTAGTCTATATAAAAGTTATTAATTCAAACACAAATAGCACTTTTGATTCTTTAATAGTGGAATATATATTTGAACACAAGCTTTTTCAGGTGAATGTGCAAAAGTGTACATGACAGCAAGTCTCCATATACCTAAATATCCAACTATTTCGAAAGTGCTACTTCTGTATGTTACTGATTATATGAAGCTTAGTTTAAAATCAATTTATCTATCTTTCAGTATATTTATATATATCTCTCTCAAAATTTGAGTAGATTTAATTCTTTTTTTTTCTCAATTTTTTTTTTAAATTTTGAAAAACTTAGGGGTGGGAGAGGGGGCCCGGGCCAGCTGGCCCCACCTTGAATCCACCACTGATATTACTGATGAGTTACTCCCTACCAGCTTATCTATTTTATGATTACAATACTGTATTATGAAAACCATAAGGCAAACAGCCCATCAACATATAACAAAATTTGGAATTTAATTAATATTAACTTTGATGTTTCTATAAAAAATTAAATTCAAACAGAATATTTGACTGTTCAGTCTTTCAAGAGTAGATCGTTTAATGCTGAAATAATCCTGATCATGAATCTTTGGCACTTTTCTCCCCTAATAATATTTACCCTGTATGCTATCATGTTATGTTTAAATCTTTGATTATGTTACAGTACCTTATTTATGATGTTTATGTTTGTGTTTAGCTGGAAAATTTGATCATTTTTTACAAGTCAAAAAGTGTCTTGCTAATTGCTTAATATTTGAATTTGCCTACTTTGTTTTATATTTAAGCCAGCTTAATTGGCCTTTCCGGAGTGTCAATCAAGCGTAACAACTGACCAATCAGAACAGGGCTAACAAACAAAGTGGTCCCACAAACACACATGTTAGCATATGTTTTTACACTGTCCTTTTGTGGGATATTAGCAACGATATCCAAAGGGCCAGGGCTTGCTGAAAGGTCCATTGAAGCTTTGAATTAAAAATTAGAACATGAGAATATTTTACTTCCCGTTTACCCATAACAGAAAGCACACCTTTATTCTTTTTTTACTCTGTGAAATCAGCGAAAACGGAATTACGGTTTTGAGCTGTCTCTTTTTCGAAGCTTTAACTTATTTGGTCCTTTCAAAATGAAGAATTTGATATTTTAGTTGAATACTGATTGAAGTTGTTTCTAGAATTTATTATAGACTGTATATCATAAAATACTGATATTCATTTTCTATTTAACACTAAAACACTTTTAGTGTACTGTATTAAGTTGTTGTCAATACTCGTGATATATGTATAGAGCAGTGGTGTTGCCAGCATTTACCCAACAAACAGAAAGGGGGGTGGGATGATGCTAAAATATTTGGCTGCTGGTCTGACAATTATTTACAGAGTTTAGCGGAGTCTAGGTAAAAACTAAACCTGACAGCTATAAAATCTGGGCAATTTGAGTCATTTTAAGCTGTTGTATTACAATATGCCAACGATTTTTTTTCCTATTTTTGGTCAAAGGAGTTGTTATTAATTGTGGCTTTATTTCTGTTCATTTTGCAAAATACAGGTTTGTCCCCTTTCCCTCTCCCCCTGCCCTTTCTCTGCTGGGGCCACCACTGTTATGATGTATCAATACCTCTGTGTTACAGTATATAACATTGATAACATGTTTCTACTTGAATTCCTCTCATTTATGAACCATTTTAAACCTACTTGTATAAAAAAAGTGTAGAGAATATGCAAAATATAATGTATTATATAAATAGTATAATTAGATATTAGAAATGATCTTTGACTTATGACAGTGTAAATGTATTTCAGATCTTAACAGTTCAGGTACTCAGCTACCACAACAATTACTTGTTAAAGATATAATGTAATGGTCGACTTAAACTACATCAGGCAATAACTGTACATCAGCACCAAAAACAGTATGCTGATTGTCATTGACGATCTGTACGAACCATTGCTTAATACAATCGTATCTTTACCTCTGTAGAGTAGAGTACCACCATCTAGCTTTTAGCAATACCATTCTCTCATCTTAGAATATCACCCTTGTTTCATTGTGGATTGATAATATAGAATGGAAATAAAAATTTATGTATTTTGAATTTTTTTTACACTTAATTGAAAAAACATTAACATAAAATTATTCAAATTTTGTCCACTTTCAAAATGGATGGTACAGTATTATGTTTAACCAGGTGATTAGATTTTCATTTCTCTCTCGGCAATCCCAGGGTTATTTGATGCAGAGTTTCATGTTTCTATGAATGTCTAAAACAATTTTAACAATTGTTTTTTTGAACATTAACCATTGATTCAAATGAACAGGGTCAGCCAAGATGAGAGAGTATTATTCCAGGGGCTTTAACTGCTTAGGGGCTCAAAAGATTGCGACCCTTAACTGTGCCAACCAAAAAAAAAATTGTAGTCAGTGCCTCGACTGTCTCTATGTTTCCAATTATAACATGTAATGTCTTCCTTGTAGGATTTAAAGTTGTTTCTAGGCTTCTTACATATTAGAAATTTACAACTGCAATATCAAGGTTGTTTTTAACTCTTATTTTATTAAACAGTTAAATGGCGCCCTCACAGCTTGTTCTCTGACATGCTATCAGCTTAAATGCAGTACTGTATGTAGATTGCAAGTCAATAAATTTATAACATCAAAAATTATATTTCCTATCAAATTTGCTATTCATATGTCCAGAGCAAGTTGATATTCAACCTTAACATGTTTGAAATGTTTCTCAAACAAATATTTTTACCTTCAATTTTATTGTAACACAATTTTGACTCTACATCCCTGTATATGTTTAGACTTTCACTGGTAACTGCCGTAGTTAGTGAGTTTCAATATTAATTTAGTTATATTCATACAATTTAAAGATATTGGCACAAAAGAATAGTTATCTATGTATGAAACTAAATGGGTTAATTCCAAGGAGCAGCACAGAAAAATGGTGATTGATCTGCCACTCTACATTTCTCTAGGTAACTGGGAACCCTCTGTTTTAATTACAATGACAGCAAAAATAGCCTTCATAAAGACATAATTTCAAACTGTATATTGTAGACATGTCAAATAAAATCTTTTACAAAAAAAAAATCTTGTGAAGTTTTGCTTAATTGCTGAACATAGTGTGTCAGAATTCACTTTTATTTGTCTCAAATTAAAAATACATTAACAATTACAATATTACAAATACAGAAAAGAACAAAAACAAACGATTAAACTTGAAATTTGTGTTGTTGGTGAGTATCATGTCTCTTTTTTTAATTCAAATTGAAAATATCAGTAATTTTCATCAAATCTATAGAATAAATATTTATTTTCCAACAAAATAATAAAAATATACCACTGTAATTGGATACAACGATTATAGTTCTTGCTACCTTTAATATTTATAATTAATCATTTTTTCCAAAAGACTATTAAGAGATTTCAAAATTATTTAATAAAACCATTGCAATTGGACATACTGAGCACAAGTAATGAAATATTAAAAAAGTCTGAAAATATAATTACTGCATGTTTGGTAACATGCCATGTGGTTTATTGCCTCATAATTGAATACCTGGAATTCATTGAGTAATGTTCCCAGACTATACCATATGGGAAAGTAATTCCAAATCCTGGACTGTTCATTGAATGAGGCACATCACTTTGAATTGGGTCGGAAATCGGGCTTTCCATTAACCTATTTCTTGTATGCTTTTATACTGTTATTTATGCCGCAACCTACCATTAGTTCAACAAATTCTGAATGTTTTCAAGCTGGCCTAAAATGTTCTTAATGCATTTAACAGTCATATACAGGATGCATATTCTAAAAAAAACACCACAGACCTTGGCTTTAAACAGATACCATGCCCTAATTATGTACCAAACATTTGTACAGCTTTGCTAGCAATTTTGTGTATTAAATGTTTTGTCGATTGTAGCTATTTCTTGATTATTAAATGTTAACTGACAAGGTTGTATATGGAAGGAGGTTACCTACGTTAGTAGGATTTTAATGTAATGCTTTCTTTTCCTATTTACATTTAGAATAGATTATTCCGATACAAATGGTATAACAAATAACTTTTCTTAATAATTTAATAAATTTTCTGTCTTTTCATTACATAGGTATGCTTAATCTATGACCCGTGAATGCAAATTGAAATGGGAATAAATTTATTTGTTATAATTCGATGAATTCATGTATAGTAATATTTGCTAGATGCTCATGTTTTTTTTTTTCTACATGGGCATTGTACTTATAGTTGCTGTGGAGCAAAAACAACCATGAATAAGTAAAATAAAGTACAGAATATACAGATGCTAATAACTATACAAAAACAATAAAAAACTTGGATAATTAATTGAATAATACGGAGACTACAGTAGTTCAATTGTATTAGGCCTACTGCTCTTTACGGTTGGGGTAGAAATTACCAGAGTACTACAACACTATGTACAATACCACATGACACCATTTCATCGCTGAGCAATAACCAAGCGGTTCATATGGCTGAGTGCCTCAACAGTTTCCACCGCATTTTAAATTGAAGTATCAAAGCTTAATAATTCAAGATTAAAAAACGGAAATGTTCCATACGGTAATATTTATCCGATGTATATTTATAAGAATCGTAGCAAGTCTTACCACAATATTATGTTAATGCCTCGCTTTAGATTAATACCCAGCTGTCATTGGATTAAAAACATGAAACCAGTGGCAGATCTAGGATATAATGAGGGCGGGCGGGGTTCTTGTGTCCGTATTGAATTTCTGCATTTAAGACAGGCCTATTTAAACATAAATGTATCAAACAAAAAAAAGGAATATATCCACCTTCACCTAAATGATATAACAATTTTAAAATTTCTGTATACAGACTGAATTTATTATGAAAACATTAATGTATGCTGATGATATAAAACAAACTTTAAAACCAAATTTTAAAAATGTAATTGGTGTACCAATAGTATAATAATGATTTTCAACAAAATGGATTATGATGATGAATAATTCCCACTTTAGTTTTCTTTTAAAGAAGTCCCGCACTTCTTGTCTATCTCTGGGTGGCATGCTTTTCCTTTCCATTCATTGTTATTGCCAAGAATTATTCTGTCTGACTTTTTACATGTGAAAAAATGGAATGTTGACAAAAAAGACAGACAGGTCTGCATCATGTTCTGACTGAAGACTAGCTAGCCTTGAAAGAAAGCCTAGCCCAAAACTTTAGAGCTTTACAATTTAGAATATTTGTTTTTGAGAATGGAGGGAGGTGGCTAGCCACCCAATTCATCCTCCATAAATCCGCCACTGGAAATGCATTCTCAGCTCTGTAGACAGTATTCTAACTGTTGGAGTTCAGCTAAAAGTGCATTGGCATTATCTAACCCTACCAGGTACCCACATATATCCTACAATAGGTGGTGAGAGACAATGTGGATTAAGTGCCTGGTCCAGGACACGTCAAGCAATATATATGGCAAAGACAAGCTCGTCGCAAAAATCGATTTTTAGTTATTAATACAGGGTTAAACAGTAAAATGAGGCATGTCGTGGTGAAATGGTTAAGTTGCTGCACAGGCCAGTATTGAGTAAATAATTTGAAAGGCAATACTCAAAATCATCTTGACTCTAGAGTGCTGCATTTTCACTTTTCAATATAGGCTTGGCATGACCAATTTTGATAATTGATCACTCATTTTAAAGATTACATACTCAGGTATCTGAAAATATTAATAACTTTTTAAAATTTGTGCTACAATTTAGCCATTCTGCCACAACATGCCTCAAATGAGAGCTATAAAATGGTAAAAGAATCATTTAAATCCGACATTTCGCTATGTTTAAAACTGTTTAAAGAACAATATTTGAGAAATCAGCCTTTAAAGTTCAGGATTTCAGGCATTTCTCAGGCAGAAACCATCACCAAATCGTTAAAAATTGTTGTTTTAACATTGAAAATGAGGAAAATAACAGCATAGCATGATATGCTGAAATATAAATGTTAGTTTAGTGAAATAAAATAGATTTCAAAAGTTTTGACATCACAGGATGTTTTGGTCATTATCTCTGAAACAGGATTTGCGACGAGTGACTGGTTTGGCTTGTCTTGCCACATATGCACAGCCAGTTTCAAATCCCCAACCCCAGGATTGAGAGCATGAACTGCAATCATTGCCCGACCACTCACTGTAAAAATGGTATATGTTTACAAGGCACAAATTAAATGCATAAAAGTATATTAATCATGTTCACTTGAAAAAGCTATGGACTGGCTTCTGTAGGTGGCACTGCCTTATTATCCACTTGGGTAGTGTTGCTCAGTACCAAGGGGGTGTCAAGTTGTGGTGTGATGAGCATAGTACTCTATATAGATGTGGTGTCAGCTGGTGGGCTAGGCTCTAGCCCCCTGTTGAAGCCTTACCAAGCTGTTGAGGATTGTGGTAAAATCAGTGAGGAAAAAACACAGGTAAAATAATTTTTCTAATGCAGAAACAGCATGTCTGGCACTGCTATTTTTGGGCATCAGTTGACAGGTGAGGATAAAGAGGGTGAGGTCCATCTGTCGGAATATGCTGATTACCCATTGTGCACATTAGTTTAATTTGTTCAGTTCTGTGTGCATCAAAACCCATGTGTAAGGGTTTGTCCACACTATCACGTTTTCTGTGACAAATAACATACCCATTTAAGGACACAATACTATAGGTGTTTGTCACACAAAACATGATAGTGCGGACATAGCTAAGTTAATAAGGACTTTTTACACGTGTCGAAAGTGGAGTGGTGTGTTAGTACTCATAGATGCACAATATACAAAAATAATGGAATTAACCAATAATATTAACACAGTGCCAATAACAATATAACGAAAACAAATACAAAAAAGAATAACGAACTTCAACTAAACATTCTTAGAAGCATAGTCGATGAATATATACACACTACAAATATTATAAATGTATTTCAACAATCATGCTCCTTGATCTTGCTAAAAATTGAACAAATATACAATTTAATTAATGCCCATAATCACAATAAACAGATACATCTTACAATAGTCTTCTAGAACTATGTGGATTTGTTAAATAGGCCTTTCAACTAGTATTATATCATTCAATTATAATTAGGCACACCTGGGATCTATTGCTGTGCTTCAATCCACCTGTGATATGGTCAACAAAACTAAAGTACAGCCATGATCACAGGTGCATTTTAAACACTGCAGTAGATCCCAAGTGTGCCTGTTATATGATTCAATGTAAAGTAGGCCCACCTGGGTTGCAGTGTTTCAATGCACCTGTGACCATGGGAGAGGTCACATCTTTGTTGCATTTCAATCACACCTGGGTTGCTGTGTGTTTCAATGCACCTGTGACCATGGAGTAGTCACAGGTGGAGTAAAGTTGTAATCATGATGGGAAAAACATTCCAACGCAACTAAAATTATGGATTTTGCAAGTATATTTATGCTTAATGTGTACAGTAGATTCTATCTATTGTATACGCAAATTGAAGGTACCGTAAGCGAGAATGTTTCTTTGTCTTAATACAAGTTTAACATGTTTAATCATTCTGCTGTTTTGTAGTAAATAACAATATATTGGTAAAACTAAGATTCATTATTACTTCACATGTAATTTTTTTTTTCAAATTCACAACTTGCTAATACTAATATGTTCCTAAGTAGGATTTTACTTTCAAAATTTGTCATAACTTTCTTTTATATGATTAACCTTGTGCTGAAATGCTAACCACAGCCTATGAAATCATCACAGGTGCAGTGAAATGCTTTCCACAACTTATGATGCAAGAGAACATTTTTTACAATTTGCATAGTGGTGATCACAGGTGTATTGCAATGCTTCTCGTAGTGATAACAGGTGTGCTGGAATGCAGCCAAATTAACCTCAAGTGTTACACACATAAATTAAGCTTTTTTCAGCCTAAATTCGTTCTCATTCATCTATTAAATATCCTAAGCCCTCAATTTCTATGATAAAGCACATTTATTTACATCCATACACACTTTCTGACTCCGATGACGAATGGGCTGTATTTTGCCCCTTAAGCCAAGTAGTACAGGATCAACGACAAATACTTGATCAAAATTTGAAGAAGTATAAGTTACCATCTCCCAATTTTTACAGACATGTAAAAACTACATTATTTCTTAATTAGGTATATTTTTTCAGCCTAACACACAAAATGGTAGTTTTTCCAGCTCAGTACATAACCTCCCCCCCCCCGACAGCTGATTTAAAAAAACTCCTATCATTTATTACTTGCACTGTCAATCAATCAATCAATCAATCAATGAAGGAAGCATTTCATATATCACTTGCTATTTTAATAAATTAGGTTCATTCATTCCATCCCAATGCCAATGAAAACCTGCAAATGATTTATAAATATCTTTCAACTGATATGAAAACAAATTTAATGAACTTGCAACATACATTTGCACTACTCAGCCTGGGTGATGAAATCTTGCTTGATTTCCCATCGCCTCTTGTCTGTCAATGTACATTTCTGTAGCACTGGATGGTCCTTTCATATCTGGATATCAATACATTCCTCTTTCAGATTCAAGCAATCATGGTTAATCTTTAGTTGAGTTGAGGTCTCCTCTGGGATTTCCTAAGGCTCGTTATGGCCCTTTATATAGAGTACGTCCATTGTTTTGAATGGCAATTTTATGAAAGTGTAATACTCTTTCAGAAAATTGCCTTTCAAGACAATAAAGTCGTACCCGAGAGATAATTTTCTGAGAAATCCTCAAACTATGGGGATCAAACAGAATGAATTTTAAGTACACGTACAAAACTTTCTGCCTTAAGTTATAGACCACATAATCAAAATCTGTGCTGTCAAATTTTATCAGTGAAAAACCCAAGCACTTCATTCAGCGCTTATAAGGACATCATTAGCAAAGTTGTCCAACATGAATATCTAGGTGTCATAAAGTAATTGCCAAACATAGCCATCCTGAGAGAATGATAAAAAAGGATGATAACTCTTGGGCCGGATGTGAAAAACAAAATCATGGTCCAAAAATGTAAAAACCAAAGCCTACAAGACACTGGTACAGTATTGTACATAGTGTACCAAACTTGAATACTATGTAAACTGATGGATTAAACACAACGACTGGTTGCTTACCCAGAGCAAGTTTTAAAAGCTGCAATGCTGTCATTAAACAAGAGGTTTAAGAATCACCAACACAAGCACAAATGCTCCAACTTACAAAATACAGGTAACTTTTTCCATATCCAGCATTCTTTTGTACCTCTCTTTATATTGTAGTATGCATTTGTCGAACAACCTACTAGAAGCTAACCTCTAAAGTTTCAGTTTAGAGCCGCAGTACTGCCATATCATACAAGAGATTAAGGAATCACTAACATACACACACAATCGCTTCAATGCATGATGATTTTGCAGATCACTTTTTCTAGATTTCTTTCATACATTTCCGTAATATCGTAGTGAACATAAGTAATGTGATGCAACCTACTAGTATCTAAGCTCAGTAGTTGCAGTGTAGAGCCTCAGTACCTTCACCAAACAAGATGTTTCGGAATTGCTAACACACAAGCATCCAATGCTCCAAATTACAAAATACAGATCAATTTTTCTACATCCAGCATGCTTCCATACGTCCCTTTAACATTGTAGTATGCATTTGTGGAACAACCTACTTGTAGCTAACCCCTGTAGTTGCAGTGTAGAGACTCAGTACTGCCATCATCAAAGAGGTTTAGGAATCACTAACACACAAGCATCCAATGCTCCAAACTACAAAATACAGACCACTTTGTCTACATCAAAGATACTCCCATTGTAAAAATGAGGCGGAAGTCGTGCCCAACGTAGACGGCGCCCTTCATTTTAACCATGCAAGTTTCCTATACTACGGTGGAACACTTTTTTTGTGTGGAGAACTCTATCTTGTATTTCTAGTATCTTTGGTCTACATCCAGCAGTCTTTTATACCTCACTTTAATAATTTAGTTGCAGTGTAGAGCCTGAGAAAGGAAGATGACAGCCATCAGGATTATACTTCCTCAACATGGTTTCTGATTTCAGTAACCTTCAAACATCTAGCACACTAATAGCACATTGTTTTGTTTTTATTTCATCTGCTGTAGTCTCACTCAATTAAATTCTGTATTCTGAATATAATACAATGTTTATGCACCATCGAAGTATAGCATCACAGCTGCAGGGTTGTCACGCTGGGAGAAGCCACTTCACAGTATGTGTTAATGCAATTATTATAGCTGACTGTACATTGTTTCACGTTTAGTGTATGAAAAATTGTATGTTGGCATGTCAGGGGCCAAAGGCAATTCTTAAATGCACTGTTTAATCTAATCTGAATTGAAATAATCTATGTAGCATATGGAACTAAATTGCTTAAAAAGTCACACACCTCCTTGACCTAGGCCTAGACAGTTTGAAGAGACAAATCATGCAACTTGTATTCAAAACTGTATTCTGGGGCGGATGCAGGATTTGGCGGTAGGGGGTGAAGAAGAGTCCGCACCACCTCAGCCCCACCATGGTTGGAGCTGTGGGGCGAAAATTTTGAGAATATGCCCGGAAATTGCACTCGCATACCAGATTTAATTTCATTTATTTGGCAGTAGGGGGGTCCACACCATCTCAGCCCCGCCATGATTGGGGCTGACATGCTAAAATTTTAAGAATATAGACCTCTACATGACCAGAAATTTAATTTATCTTCATATCAACAATTATTTTTTTTAATACAATTTAGGGGGGTGCAATCGCACCATCTGTACCCCAACCCTGCATCCGCCACAGGTATTAATGGTGGAAATATTTTTATCAGGAGAGAGAGAGAGGAGCGTGAGGGAAAACTGAATTTAAACCAATGCCAAAATTAAAAACATAATTTGATTGAAATGGTAGACTGCATTCTACAAATAAATTTGAAAATGTGATATAGGTCCAAATGTCTGAATAATGAAGCACATAGAATTTAATATGTTAATTGTTGAGTTGTACAAGAAGTGGCATATCTAGGGCGGTGCGCACACCTCTCCAAAAATTACGCGCCTCCCCCCCAAAAAAAAAATCTTGTAGAAAGACTTCTAGATATACCACTGTGTACAAGTTGCACAAGACTTATTTGGATAATTTAGCTATCTTTGTGTCATCAAGTGAGGGAGTTTGTTGATATAATTTTTAGATTATCGCTACGGAGACTCAAGCATCATTCCATGGATCACACACAAAAACATCAAGGAGCAGACTGAAAAATACTTTGACAAAGTTAAGCACGCTCTGTGTTAGTTTCTGTTTACGCTTTAACGATGGCCTTAGGAAGATTTAACCAAGTGTAAATGGGGTCTAAAGATAATCAAATCCATGTTCTTTTCATTGTAAGATATCAACAAATTCATACTCAGAACTTCCATCAAAATGAGAATTTACATGATGGTTAATGAACTCAGCTGAAAATAAAGAGCGATCGAATTGCCGGCTGCACATTGGGCAGGAAGTCCATTCTGGGTCTACTGGAGTCATATCACCAGCCTCAGCTTCTTTTTTTTGCTCTTCCAGAAGGGCAGCTGGTGTAAATACCTCAGGAGAACTGCGTCCAGCAGCATGTAAATCCTCTTGTAGGTTAGGAGGATTTCTGGGTGGTAACAGGCCCTCACCTGTCTCTTGCATAATAGGTATTTTAAATTTGCCTTCTGACTCTTGGCTTTGACTGGCCACTGGGCTTCCAATTCCGTGAGTAAAGGTAATAGCGGATCCCATACGACCACTGGTTGAAAAAGTTGGTGCACTCCCTGGTCCGAAATGTGTAATATCACGCATAGCTGGGACATTTGTGGCTGCACCATAACTTGATGAAGGAAGTCTAACCATGGGGCTATTTTCTTCAGAATTTCGCATAGCCCTAAAAAATCCTTGACCATATATGCTGGTACTAGTACTACTTTGCTGGATCTGTGGAGGGGAGCCACCGTAGAGGTCCTCCTCACTTCCCTCAAGAGATGGTGGAATTTCGCCTAGAGCAGCAGTTCCCAACTCTTCCTTTGGTGGACGTTTGATGCTAGAACTTGGTATTAATTCTCTAAAACGGCTATAAAACTGTCTATTCATCGGATCATCTTCCATTTCAGAATCTAAGTTAAAAATTGAAAAAAATATTTACTGTACACATATTTATGAGCTATACAATGTTTTGCATATTTTCAATTGAGAAGTTATGTATGTATTTTATTGCTTAAAAGTCATTATTTCTCCATTGACATGTCATTGTGGTGAATATTTCTATGTATTACTTGGTCCTTGTTGTAATTCTTAAAAACAAGGAAGTTAGGATAGGTCACTGGGGAATCCCTGCAACAACACTCCAGTGCCTACCTTGTCCAGTGCACAGGAAAATAATCCCCTACTCATCTTGATTAGTGTCCTGCATATGTTCTGCTTAATGTCCCTCTGCATATGTTCTGCTTAATGTCCCTCTGCATATGTTCTGATAATGTCCCTCTGAAGTACAATGGACTCTTCCGCTAAGCCCCACCCCTTGGATATTGTTGCTAAGGTCCCACAAAATGACAGGATTAAAACATACGCAAACACATGGGACAACACATGTGCTTCTTGACATGTGCATATTCCAGTCCCTGTTCTGATTGGTCAGTTAAGTTTGACTGACACTCTGGAAAGGTTCATTTGAGCAGAGTATATTACCCAAGGACACAAGCAAGACTGGCATTGGCAGGTTTTGAACTTTGTCCATCCCTTATACTGCTTCACTTTACCCTTACTCATTGACTAGTTTTTACCAACAGAAAAAAAAAATAGTGGTTTACCTGATTCTCGTTTTTTTCTACTCCTGATATTCAGCATACCAGCCTGATTTAATTCCCTGTAATATTGTAGCTGGTGTAATAGATTTTTAACTTCTTCCTTCAATTTTTTATAGTCCGACAGGAAATATCCAACATCAAACTCTACCATATCCGCATTTTCTGTTTGATCTTCATTCCCATCAGTTTCCATATCTGAATCTCCTTGAAGGAGGGAAATCTCTGTTAGCTTTCTATCTATTTCTTGCTGTATCTGCTGTAGTTCAGCATACCATTCAGTTGAATTAGATATATTCAGGCTACATATTATATCATAAATTCCACTTAACTTAGATTTTTCCGAGACAGATGACTGTAATAAATTTCCTTTTTGGTGTTCCTCAGCATTCTGATTTTCTAACAATTTTTCATTTAGCATCTTTATTTTGTTTTCTTGTAGCTTGCTATCTGTTGTTAGACCCTTGTTTATATTTTCTAATGATTGAATTCTTTTCAGACAATCTTTACTTTGACATTGAGTTTCTGAAAATTGCTCATTGCCTGTTGTTAGTGTGATTGCCTGACTTTGACTTGGTAATGATGTCCGAAGTTCACTATTTTCACGGGTGAGTTCTTCTATCTTTGTATTGAGCAAGTATATTTTATTCTTATCCTGTGAGATAGAAAATGAATAGTGGTTGGATAAAGAACAAAGGCAAAACAATTCGTATTAGGCAAAGGTGGAATGTCTTCTGAGCAGCCATATTGTTATACTGTATTCCATTGTTATGTGTATGTGGCTATCCTTCCAGGGACCTTGTTTATAGTTAGCTTATAGCGTACGTATTACTAATACGAGCTACTCGTATACCATTGAGGCGGAAGTAGGCACTCGGTGTTTGAACGTGGAATAAAGAAGTTGTGTTCGAGTTTGAAATATAGTTTCCGAGTCACTTATTAAAAGTGCTCCTGTACACAAAACTATACACATATGAATATTCATTGAATCAGTATTCATTTGGCTGCTCAGAAATAAATGGCCTAGAAATTAATATAAAAACAAAAGGTGGAGTCAAGCTGAAGTTTTCGTGGTTAGGATGCCCATTTTCCAATCCCATGGTGCTGGGTACAATAGCAGCTATGGACCTACAGTAACATCTCCCAATTACAAACCTCCCATTTACGAACTCTTGATGTTACGAACCCATTTTGCAGCGATGAAGTCATTACAAATGATTGTTTTTAAATTTAACTATAAAAACACTTTAAAAAAGTGTTTAAATTATCTTCAGAAATAATTTAAATTGTTAGATAAGAGAGAAAACATTCAAGCCTATAAAGCGAAATAAAACTAAGTTTCAAGCAAGATATATCAATCTTTCAAGCAAGATATATCAATCGTTTTCAGCCGAGATACATTTTGTTGCAGAAAACAGTAAAATCTCAGTCATATATTGTGAAAAAAATTTTCTTTCATGGCAAGGCTTGCCTACCTAGCCTTGTACTTTGCAGCATATTGGCCTAGGCCTACTATCCCTACACTGTGACGCTGAAAATTTGAACTCTATTTGAAATTAATACAAATTTTCACATTTAAAAACCCTGTTCGGACAGAGGGGTACGTAATTAGGAGATTTTATACTGTATTCAGGAAGAAGAGGCAAAAAATAATGGATGGATGAGATCAAGGAATTTAGAAGCACTAGATAGAAGCAGGTTAAACATGAAAAGTGAACTAGGGTGATCAATAAAAATATTTTCAATACCAAAATTTACACTAATATGAAGGCCTAAGAGGTCATCCATTTTCCAATTTCAAGAAAGTACACATACACGTAAATAATAAGTCAGTATTTATATAGTGCTATACGCTACACAAATTTTATCAGAGTGATTCGCCATAATATTATTATTATCTATGTCATTGAAATGATGTCTACTGTATAAAGGAAGTATTCCTTAGATTGTTGCATTAAACAAATCATTTCAATTTGTACCAGAAAGTTTCTAGGTACCTATTGCAGTTACACTTTTGTGTAGAGGGACAGGGTGGATAAAGTGCCTTGTTCTACAGTAGACATAGCTGAAACCCACAAGATCAGCCTATGACCTGGAAGATGGAATATAATCTTTGAAAGAAGAAGAGGAAATGAGCATGGAGGCCTTTTGTGCAGTGAGGTCCAAAGAGATACATATACAGTAGGTAAGGAAAGATGGAAAAACTGAGGTAGTGCAGACCAGATGGGACAGGACTGATTATAGAAAGATTTATGTAGGCGATAGAAAATGGTGTTGAACCACATTAAAAATGACACCCAATAAAAGTAAACATGAATATACTTACTGCTACTTCTGGTGAAATCTCAAAAGAATTTATTCTTTCCAATGATTCATTACTTTGCTTCAATTTCTCATTTTCTTTCTGAAGTTTCTTCATTTCTATCGTGAGAAATTTGCATTTATCATTTGTACTATGCAAGCTTTGCTTGATATGCTCATATGCACCTTTTAAAGCCTGAAATGGTTCAGAACTGGCTAAAGTTGGATCAGCACCAAAACTTCCATAAATTGGGACATCTTCCCCTGACTCTTTTTGAAAAACGTCCGAAGAGTCATCTGCAAATTCATGGGCCATTGTCAGCAAGTAGAAAAATATACCAAAAGGTTTAAATGATTTGCTCTGTGGATGGCAAATTTCTGAAACTAGAAAAAAAGGACAAGTTAAGCTCAACTATAAAATATCGGTATATCTAATTTTAGAAGCATGTTTTCAATTGCAATAGATACAACTAAGATGGATGTTTAGCCTAAAATATCTTTAACAAAAGGTTTCTTTTGTGGCTTTGTTTTAAAATTAGACTGTATGGTGTACAATTTGTACAATACCACTTATATGTTGTCCATCGTTGCAAACGAAGACATTGGATGTGCTGTTAACTGATAAATTTTCATGTGAGTCCGCAGGCTGAAGGCTAAAGTACACAATTGAGCACAGACGGGGTACTGGAAATCAGCAGACTGAGTTGGTGGAAGGGACACATTTTACAATACTAATTATACTGTAGTACAAAACTATGATTACAAAACTATGATTGATCCAATATTTTCTTAACAGTATGACTCTACGTTAACACATAAACACATGCGTACATGGGAGTTTTTTTTTACTTACAATAATTCTAGGCCAGATTTCAAAGAATTAAACCCTGCTGACTACTAAATGGATCTATCAAGATGGTCTGATAACAACATAACCTTAAATCTGGAAAGTGATTTTCAAAAAAACTCTGACTAAAGTCAAAGCCAATTTTATATTATTTGGAGTGGGGTATTATTATGCAAAATGGGATACAAATATTTGCGGTAGTATGTAGTCTGAGTCAGTCAATAAATATAAGTTGTTAAATTGTTTGAAGAAATGTTTCTCCCATTATATAAATCCTTAAATCCATACATTCTTACTAAGTAAATTCACATATTTGTCCTAAGAGTCCTAAGATCTGATGTTATTGAGGTCTACAAAATGTTCCATAATATATCCGCAGACTAAGCCCTGATGATTTCTTTGAGAAAGCTGATTTGGGGATAACTAAGGGCCATTCTTTTAACATTTTTAAGGTTAGATCTAGATTAGATCTGAGGAAATATTAATTTGTATGTAGGGTTGTCAATCCCTGGGATTGTTCTGGCATCTTCATTAAACACGTTAAAGTCACGAATAAACCGAGTAGAAACATCATCCACTTGAGTTTAATCTTAAAACTTCATAGGTCTAGTGCATTTTGCAAGATATTGTTATTTGTTTTTTATTTTTTGAAAGAAAAAAATTCAAGTATGCCACCATACGAGTGAAGTTTATTGTATACACAGTGGGCCAAATAAGTTTGTTTAACAATTTAAACCAGCCCAAATGTTTTACAGGCAAGTTTACAGGATAGTTAAAAAAAACATCTGACATGCTATTAAGACTCCAGATTTCAGACATTTATTAATGTCAACTTTCTCATAAGAAACAGCTATTCCTGGACAGAAGTTACTGCACACTTGAAAAATACTTATATAACCGAATGAAGCTTTGGAATTCTCTGTTGAATATTAAAGGAGAAAACAGCAAGAGTAGTATCATATATGCAGGGTCTCAAGTGTTCAAACATGGGCATAGCCTTGGGGATGTGGATATATTTTACCTTGAATTATCGGTACCTTGAATCGTAGGACATACATAATAAAAAAAACTCAGCTCATTTGTACCAACTTTTGTAACATCTTGGAAAACATATGGGCAAAATTTAAGATGGTGGTCAGACCATGGACCTATTAATAAGACCATCTCTTCTCAAGAACAAACTTTAAATAATTTACTGACAAAACACAAAAACAATTTTTTGTGAAAGACCGTTCCAATCGTTAATAACTGTTAGCAAATAATTGTTTTCAAACTTCTGATCTCTGAGTTGACTTTGATAATTAATTTATAAGGCTGACCTCTAGTTTTAGTATATTTCGAGTATTTTTAAATAAATTATCACCATTAATATTATTGTATCTGCCCCACCATGGCTAATTAATTTCATAAGTTGGTTATGATAAACAAAATGACCATTAAGTTATCATTGGAATAGGGATTTAGTTTCACAATTTTAAATTTTCGCACTCCAAACCCCAGGCCTAAACCAGACTATGCCCCTGCCTGTAAGAGGTAGGAATTATGATGTGTACAGGGCCCTTAGTAAATAGGGCACATTTTAACTCGAGGAGTGACTAGTCCGGTGTTATGCCAATTAGTGTATCAAGGTTTATGACCCACTAACTGTCAATTATATCCTTGAGTGAGGAATGATGTTGCAAAAAAACCTGCTGTGATTAATGTATAATAAGCTCTTTATAACTATAATTACGGTACATACTGCAAAAAAATTTAAGGGCCATGTACACCTAATGTCTGTGGGAAATCTGTACGGCCTCTGCACTCCCGAATGAATCTAATCTATCTCACACGAATTCGTGATAAATGTGTTTAGTAGGCCTACTGTTTTATCTCGCTGAAATCAGCTGGTGATAAGTATCACTCTACCGCCATATCACTACAAAGCAACACAAATTTAAATAATTCATTTAAAGGAATTTCATTAAACCAGATCTCCCATACCATGGCTTCTCCTATTTGGGACCCCCTTATTGTACATATGTGCATAACAGAACTATAGTTTACTATCAGTTTACTCTATCATTGATTACATGTTATCTGCGGGTCAGTCAAGTTGCTTTGAAAAGGTAAAGTAATAGCAAACAACTACAAACAAGTGGAGGTTGGATTTAATGAAATACATAGGGTTAAGAAGTTGAGCATCAGAAACCTATGAGAAGCATTTTTATACATCAAATGAGTGTTTTCATGCCAACATGCACAAAGAACACATAAAAAGAAGATTGTCAATTTTCGAATTACTGTATATATGACTTAATAATAGTCTTGCTAATCATTCTTACCACATAGTCTACAATCATTGAAACACCCGTGGAACATTATTGGATCTCTAGAAGTAACAAAATGCTCAGAGAAATACAAGAAGAGGATGTGACACACCATAGGTGGGGTATAAAAAATAAGAGTGATTTTTTAGTTAACTATCAGTACTCAGAAAGAAATGGATAAACCTACATGAGAAAACATTTTAAACAGATAGTATAGTTGTAGTACATGCTAATTTATGCAGAAATAACTCCCTATACCTGCTAAAAAATGCCAAATACTTCAAAAAAACTTCTGTCAGCATACAGATCTGTAATGATAAGTAGTAATACAATGCACAGTGCTCATTGGCTGCTTTTTATAATTTGGGAATTTCCAAGATGAGCAAATCATCCTTTTTTACGCCCTCCGTTCAGCTACACGAAGCTGATAGAAAATTAGTAATATTCAATAGGTGCTTCAATTTTGTAACTATTATATGGTTTTATCAACATCTTAACATTTTTTAACCTTATGCTGGTAGATAAACTGTGTGAAATTCATTAATCACAAAAAAAAAAAATAAAAAAAAAAAATAAATCAAAATTTCAATAATAATGTATATTTTTTATGTGTCATTTAGAAAACTACATTTTGTTATTTACACCCACATTTTGTGATTGGTGATGACTGTGTTGATATAAAATAAAGGCTTTTGATAAAAGAATGCGTATACTGCAGAAACTAGATCAATAATACTCAACATAGTCCACTATTTTCAATATTTTTTATAGATGAATTTATGTATTTTTTTGTTTTTTGAAAAATTTATAAAATGTAAACTCTTTTTATATTATTGTTTATCATTGTTTTTTACAGGTTAGTGGTTTAGAGATAATTCACTCCAGTGTCGGGCTTCAGCCCATTATTCTGTCTGGACATGCCGCTAACCATTTTTTAGTAACTTCTTTTTTATGTGTGTTGTATACTGTATATGCTGAATTTATAATAAACAAATTATAAATAAATATCAGCCATTGGTCATCAGTCAAAACGTACAGTAGGAACAATCTACCATGGCATAGAATATCTGCGCAAGCAAAGTATACTTAAAAAGGTATTCAGTAATAGGTGCGAATTCGAGTCAACTCGGCCCCAGTCAACTTGGCCACAAGTCATCTCGGCTCCATCTCAAATGGGTTCCATGTCAACTCGGCCCCATGTCAACTTGGCCCCATTTCAACTCGGCCCCAGGTCAACTAGGCCCCATGTCAACTCGGCCCCAAGTCAACTCGGCACCAAGTAGTCAACTCGGCCCCAATTTACTGTGTATTTACTGAATATTTACCAAAAGAGATTTGAATGCAAAGCCAAAATTATAGTGTTTTATATCGTTGCCTTTGTTATATCTTTTCATTTACACCCACTTACAATATTTAAAACTGCATTAATAAAAATAATATTAATATAACAATATAAAAAGGTATAATATAACTAATAATTATAAATGATATGATGACAATAATAACGACATAATCATTACAATGCTTAGTGAGTTAAATATACTACTATATTATATTATATTATATTATTATATATTATATATAGACTATATACTGTGTATATACATATATGTATATATATATTTGAATATATATAGGCCTATATACTGTATATATACACCGTATACATATCTCTATATATACACACATACACACACACCCACACATATATTATATATAAATCAAACCGTCTTTATATATGAAAAATAATGAGAAACGAATACCATACGTATACAGACTTCAGAAACACTTTAGTAGAGAAAAACCAATATTTTTAGACCTATCCTTAAGTATATTTAAATATATATACATTATATAATAAAGTTAATATACATTTATATATATATATACATATTTACTGTATATGTACATTATATATATATTTATATACATTTAAATATATATACAGGCCTATATATATGTATATAAATCATTATATAATAGGTAAAATTTAAACCATGTTATATATAAATATAATAGAAAACGAATACTATATAACAATATGAACTTCAGAAAAACTTTATTAGAGAAGAATTTCAGCATATTTAAATATGCCTAGTATATATACATATATATAATATTATTTATTTTTTATTATTTCAACCACTTTATTTAAAAGGATAAAACATTGAAACAAAACCTCACATGCAAACCCTAAAAAGCAGGGGGCAAGGCAAGGTAACGAAAACAAAAGGACAAGACAAAGAAGATTTAAAACATCAAAAAAATCAGCAAAGGTTTAAAAATATTTTTTAAGTTACATCGTCACAAGGATACATCATGCAGGATGTTTTTATAATTCAGGTGTCATATACAGTATCATGAGTTTTGGTTTTTCAAAAATAATAAGATAGGGGTGGTGGGGACCAATTTGTAAATTTCCTTGCATCAAAAAATGTATTTTGAACAGCTAATCTGCTGTTCTACAAAGGTCCTAAATGATTTTTCCTGTCGCTCTCTTTGAAATGTTTCTTTCCACATACTGTAATATGTCTAGACTTCCCTTAATATGGCTTTCTATTGAGTGGCCGAGGGATCCAACCTCAATAGAAACATATTTTACATCTATAGATTCAATTAATTCTTGAATTAATAGTTTATAATTCTCTTTATTTGTCTTCCTAGACTTGGCATTGCCAAGGCTTTGTTTAGAATTGTGTGGGACAGTTAATTCCCACATAACCATTGAGGGTTTTGCTCATATCGACAACAATAATATCAGGTGGAGCTGAATTTAAAGAGAATTCCAAGGGTACTATGGCAGGATGATTACAAGAGGCACATTTACCTGGAAGGTCAGAAAAATTTGATATGCCTATAAATCAGTATGTTCATATCGTTATTATTAATAGTTTTTGTTATGTCTTTTTTATTATTTTAAATTTATTACTATTAATGCTGTTTGTATTATTGTTAATGAAAAAAGAATAACAAAGGCAAGATTTAAAACACTTTAATTTTGGAATAATTTGGCTTTGCATTCATATTGTTTTGGTAATTATTTTGTAAATATACAGTAAATTGGGGCCAAGTTAACTCAGGGCTGAGTTGACTACTTAGGGCCGAGTTGACTTGGGGTCAAGTTGACTTGGGACCGAGTTGACATGGAGCCGAGTTGACTTGGGGCCGAGTTGACATGGGGCCGAGTTGACTTGGGGCCGGGTTGATTTGGGGCCGAGTTGACTGGGGCCGAGTTGACTTGGGGCCTAGTTGACCTGCTTCCATAACTACTATGCCTACAATTAGATGTACAGACATGTATACAGTAAATAATAAAAACATAATAAAGTAATACAGTATTTCTTTTCAATGAGAAAACAAGTTCCAATACTTCAAATTTTCCAGTAAGTGCAAGTCTTGCGCCGCACAAAACATGATTGTTTTTGCTAAGAATCAATCACGAATTTAGCACTTCAGCATATATATTTGAGATGCTACTTTGAAATAACAATGCGGAGCTTAAATTGTGAGATATTTTGTATCATTGGGACAATAATTAACCAATTTCTCATGGACTACTAACAATGCAGACATCAGAGAGGCCTATGTACAAATGGTATCATTTAGCAAAATTTTTAATACAGTAAGTACTGTACTAACTCTCAAAATAGCTCTGCATGAAATCTAGAAAAAATGTTAAAGCACTGCAGTGCTTATGGAAGCATTTATGGATTCTTGTCTACTGTGTATGTAGCAAAGACAAATTAAAACAAGTTAAAAAACTAGAAATTGCAAATTGCAAGTGAAGTGCTGCGAAGTACAACTGCATAATGTTCTTCGAACAAAATTATTCATGTGAGTCAAGTGAAAATAATGAATAATAAAAATATAACAAATAATATGAGACACGACCCATTGTCTATATTAGAGCACTTCTCATTGGGTAACAAAGTCGTAATTTTTCATTTTTGTCAAAAAGTGTCTATAGTGATGAATTATGATTTAGGTTTTTTTTTAATAAAGTTTTTCTATAAATTTCTATGTATGTGGAAAATGTAGTTGATTACCAAAGGTTACAATTTTTATTTTGAAGACTGCATGGTCTAGGAAGTTTACATTTTTTTATGGGGCAAGTTTCCAAGGGCGGGTTTTCTAGGGGCGAGTTGACTGCGAGTATTGCCAAAGTGCGAGCCAGCGTGTTATTTGATCACAAGTGCGAGCCATCGCAAGTGTCAGCCAGTGAGCCGTGAAGTTACGACAATAGATACAAGACGTTACTCGAGTTGTGCGAGGTATCGGCTGAGATTTGTGGAGTACAATTCAAAAAACAACTATAGGTCTAATAATGAATTATTGTGATGTTAAATAGACAATGTTAGCTATCAAAGAGCGAC